TACAACGCGAGCTCTTGGGAAGTGTCAATCATTGGCGAAAAGTTCTCACAAATCATCCAAAGTAGCTGATTATCTCGAAGAAAAGAATAAACATGTTAACAAAATGAATGTCACCAGATGGAACAGTGAATACTTGATGATAAAATCCATTTTATCTGTGGGAAAAGAAGACTTGGAATCAATTGCAAAATTGATGGAAAGTCCTGTTCGATTATCAAATAATGATCTAATTGTTCTACAAGAAATTGTTGACATATTAGAACCATTTAATGAACTAACTGTAAAATGCCAAAGTGAAAAATTGGTTACGGCAAGTGCTGTGGTGCCAGCGGTTGTTCATTTAATAGTCCATTTACGAGATATAAAAGCCAACATTTCATTTTGTAACAAGCTTATTCAACAACTCGAATCATCGCTTGAAAAACGTTTCGCTGGTATAATTAGCCGATTAAATCAATCAACTATTCAATACAATGATCCATTTAATGATCCAGTTTACTTTATGACTGCAGTGCTAGATCCATCCTTTAAATTCCTTTGGCTTTCTGACTTGAAGCTACCTGTCAACGATGAAAATCGTTTAAAACAAAGTATCATTCAACTGATCCTTGATGAAATCAGCAAAGATGTAACAAATCCATCTGGTGCACATAGTTCATCGACGACAGCATCTCCACCTTCGTCAACACCGAAACCGAAGCGCAGGAAATTGTTTGTTTACAATGATAGTTATGACGACGACGATTCGAATCTTTCAAGTCTTCTTAATCCCGGTGCGGAATCGGAAAACTATTTGAATGATCCAATGAGGATCAGGTTTTCGGAATATTGGGTGAATTCTCGATTGAACGTTTTAAAAAAATTGGTTGAACGTATTTTCACATTGCAAGCTTCATCCGCGCCAGTCGAACGTGTATTCTCACATGCAGGCTTAATTTTATCACCTCGACGGTCAAATATGAATGAAGAATTATTTCGTGATCTGATATTTCTGAAAGTAAATCAAGGCTTATTATGAATTGTTTTATTGTTTATTCGCCACCTCTTTTTTTCAAAAAGATATTGCTTTATTTTTTTAAAATTCATTCAGTATCAAGAAAAAGTTATTTTGCCATTGACTGATTTTTTCTTGCTCAATAAAACTTTTACGTCTTTACTATAAATTTTTTGTATTATCTACTCTTTTGAATTACTCGACTAGGCTATGTATATTCCTCAGAAACTTTTCGAGCTATGACTGCACATGACAACCGGTCGCGGAAGTGTATCACATATTCGCATTCAGATGAAATTTTACTTTGTCACTGAATTAAAACAGAAGAAGACTTGATAACTCAGAGCTAAAAATGCAAAGTAAACGTATAAGAACAATATGCAAGTACGTTTTTACTTAAGTATCGGTACTGAGTAAAAATGTACTCAGTATCAGTACTAAAGTATTTTCGAGAAGTACAAGTAAATTTACTTGTACTATTGAAATATACTTTGGACTTACAATTCTTGAGTAAAAAAGTCCAAAAATACTGAGTATTGTACTTAGTATCCAGTCTCTGTACTGAAGAAATCTCAATGTCGATCAAAAGAATGTTTATATGTGTTATCAGACCTCAATTTCGTTATATCATAACATCAATTATTAGTTTGATGGATATGACTTAACAAAAACATTCATGATATTAACTGCTTTGTTCATTAAATTATGTCATATATTATAGAAATATCAAAAACAAAGAAAATCGAGAATGAATAATCGAATTAAACCAGCAATACTTTCGTTATATTGATATGATGTTTTTTGTTTCTTTATGAAAACGTTCATGAAATTGGATTTATAATTACAATTTTTATTTGAAAATTTTGTTTAAATCAAATTTTTTTCTTAGAACTACAATAACAATAAGAACACGAAATTTATAGAATCTAACTGTTGTTTAATTTTTAAAAGAAGAAAAAGAAACGCTGCGAGTAGGATTCGAACCTACGCGGGAGAACCCATCTGATAACTATACATCATTTTCATGATTCTAGTCAGACGCCTTAACCACTCGGCCATCGCAGCACATTTATCTATAGTTTGTCGCGAAAAGATAAGAATGAAATGTTCAATTCTGTATAATGTACTGAAAAAACATTGTTTTTTCTTTTTAAGCAGATTATCATTGTGATTTCATCGATACCAAAACTGAATATATCGTTTGAACTTCATTCAGCGGTCAGTGTACTGTTTGTTATAGTACAATACGAATTAAAAATATTGTATTTGATGGAGACCAACCTGAATCGTTTACATCTGTTGCACACATCATAAATTCATATACCTTGCCACCTTGTGTCGAGAAGTAAAATCAATTTTTCTAAGAGGTGTGTTCGAATAATTATAACTATGAGATCGAAATGTAATCAAACAAAAATTTCGATTTCCTTATCTGGTTTATCGTTGATAGATGAATCATGAGCTACGGCAAAAAATAGAAAAATATCAATAAAAATACATAATCAGAAAAGTATTCAACGTACGATTGATACCAATGGTACAAAGATATTATTCGCTGGATTTTTTTTGTCATTAAAGTACCTCAATACTGGTTTTGTGTTGATTTCTTCTATATTTTTTCTTACCGGCTGTTGTCTTTGTTGTTCAAGGCGAAATTCAGAATATTACTCGTAATGTGAATGACCAATAACTTTCTCAAATCTTGATTTATTCATAATCGATTTATCAAAGTAGTAAAATTGAGCTGTAGTTATTGATAAAGTACATTTTCTGCTCTTTCGAATTGTTTCATCGATAGCAATATTACATGCTATATTTTTACTAAAAAGTCACGAATAACAAAGATTCTACTCGATTAAATGTTAGATAATTCGATAAATTAGCCTGTGTATAGCTTCATTTTATTAAATTAACATCATAGTAATTTCTCTTTCGATGCGTAGCATAGTTTGACTTAGGCGATATTAATGGTATAATCATCAAAAACATAGAGATTCTTCTATTGAAAATACTATTGCCAATGATGCTACCAACAACATGAAGGTTGTTCGCATTGAAAACAATCCTATGTTGTTAATCAATAGAACTAAGCGGCAAAACCAGCCAGCGGTCACCCATCTATGGGGAAGGTTCGACTTTAAAAGTCATGAGAACGGACACTCTCAGACGAAAGAGCATCGACGATAGTACTTATAACAGATGTCGTAAGTATCTGAATGATCGATTTTACAATGGCGCAAACACCATCTTCTCCATCATAGAGGGCGTAATAAAAACATCTGATTGGATCGTCAGAGATGAACCGTTAACATGATACAATAGATATACTTGATTGGCTTGAATTTGACAACTATTGATGAAAGTTGACACGCTCTCTTAGAATATATGGTTCAGAAAAAGTTTCAATGATTGTGTGTTTTTTTAATACAATCACGAACTATCCTCGTTTTTCATGAAATTCCGTAACGAAAACAACGTATAATGTGTGTAGTGTGCACACATCAATTAGAATTGTTTAACAAAATACACATAGAGATAGCTCTTGAATAGCTCTATTAAATGCACTTGTTTCTTTTAAACATTGAACCTATTTTGATATATTTTTTTAAAAAGTATTGCGTTATGGAATTTCATCTGAAAATAATATATTTCGTATTTTTAGCTGAATTTCAATTTTACGCTTCGAATTAAACCATATACCGATATGATATCTCCATAGACGTTGAAAAAACGAAATAAAATCGTTTTTACATTTTTCATTGCCATGAATTTTGTCATTTTTTTTATAGCAAAGTCTCTCAAAAGCGTTCTTATACATATAATTTTAGATATAATATAATATTTGTCGCATCACGTATTGAACAGTTATTTTTTCTGTAAATTATGGTACTTTCAGGTGCTGAAAGAGCTCGACGTTGTCGAGAAAAAAAGAAAAGAACAGGACTGAGTGAAATTGCAAAGCAAAAAGATCGACTACGTAAGCAAGCGGTTCGTTCAAAAATGTCTTCAAGTCAATTAGCAGCATTACGGCTACGTCAACATGCTAGTCTACGAAAATTTCGTGAAAAAACAGCAACAGCTCCAATTCCTTCTTCATTAGATACATCACACTTTGTAACAAAACAAGCAAAAGCCAAAGCATTAAAAAAGATGAAACAAGCATTACCTGCAAATAAAAACAAACAAATTGAATTAATTCATAAAATTGCTGAGGATTTAAACGTTTTGCAATTAGAAAAAAAATATGAACGTAACTATCAATCGATACCGTTAGAAGTAAAAAAGAAAGTTTTTGATTATTATTGTCGTGATGATATTAGTTACCAATCACCAGGTAAACGAGATACTATTACAGTAAAAGAAAATGGTGCTAAATTAAAATTACAACGACGTTATCTTTTATTTTCATTACGTGAATTATACCAATTATTTGTTCAAGAAAATCCACAGATAAAACTCAGTTTATCTAGTTTTCAAGATTTAAGACCATCTAACGTATTATATAAATCATCTATTCCACACAATGTCTGTGTTTGCATTTATCATGAAAATATATCATTACTTTTACAAGCATTAAGCAAATATATTCATGGATTGGAACGTATTGATTTGCACTCATTTATCAATTTAATTGTTTGTGATCCTGCCAACGAATTATGTATGTTTGGAAATTGTACTCATTGTATCAATAAATTCAAGATTGAAATCAATGATAAAATAATTAATCCAACATTGAAAATTAAATGGATGTTATGGTCAATATCAGAACAAGGAAGATATGAAAAGATTGATTATGAAGGATCAGTATTAGAATGCGTTACCACATTACAAGAAAAAATTGATCATTTCTTATTTCATGTTTTTGTGAAACGTCAACAGTCATCATATTTTGAAACGTTAAAAGCAAATGTGACCGACAAAAAGTGTCTCATCCAGCTTGATTATGCTGAGAACTTTGCTGTGATCGATCAAAATGAAATTCAAAGTGCACACTGGTCTCGACAACAAATATCCTTATTTACAGTTTATATTTGGACCAAGTCATTTACACAGCCTATGGTTATTGTTTCAGACGATATCTCACACAATAAATTTACCGTTTCTCAATGTCTGGAGCATGTTCTCAAACATTTGCAATTAATGATCCCATTGTTACAAGAAGTAATCATATTCAGTGATGGATGTGCAAGCCAATTTAAGCAAAGATACTTATTCAAAAATCTATCGTTTCTAGCTGATAAATATAAAATTGGTTTGTCATGGAATTTTTTCGCCAGTAACCATGGAAAAGGTAAGTGTATGTATAATTAATATAATCGCAGAAAGATAACAGATCAAAGCGATGCTCTTGTCATGAGACAGTTGTCAGTCGAGTTCTGGTACTATTAAACTATGGTAAGGAATGAATATGAGCTTTTGACGAGTGTCTATTGTGTTGTGGATGGTGTCGGTGCGTCTGCAAAAAGAATGGTATATAACGACGTTATGGCTGGAAAAAGATGCAAAAATGCACATGATTTTGTTCGTTTAATTCAAGATAAAAATAACTCTATTATTATTGAAGAATTATTGGTTAGTGAAATTCAAGGTGCACAAAAGGCACTTAATTTACTATTTGATAATGTGCGGGCTGTGCCTAACATTCAAAAAATCCATTCAATGACTGTTGTACGATCTGGTGAAATTGAATTGAAAATCTATGCAAACAGTGCAGAAAAAAAAGCTTTCCATTTTTGATGTATTTTTCTTCGCACGGCTCTTTTATTTGATTTATGTCTTAGTTACTTTGTTATTTAGTTATGAAAAATAAAATTGAACGACCTGTCTGAACATGAAAAATATCTATTTGTTTATAACAAACAAAAAACAAAACGTTTTTCATTATGTTAACTCGAGTTCTGGGACTATTAACCGTCTTCATGAAAACACCTTAAAAAAAGGATGAAATTCCGTAACGAATGAAATTCCGTAACGGACATTCTTATCACTTTTATACTCAGCGGAGATACCTATGAGACCGAATGGCTCCATAGATGGAAAGCTTAGTCAAAGTGAAGCAAGTTTTATACAGAGCATTTATTTCTTTGTCGCTTCCATTCGTAATAAAACATTCAACTTTCGCGCCACCCTAAAAAAAATTTCCATTTCAGAAATTCCGTAACGACTAACATTTTTTCAAATAACTTCACTCTACATAGAGTAGAATAAAGGAACTTTATACCATTATTAGATCTCAATAAGCTGTATATACAATAAAAGTTTTGGAAAGTTTGCACTTATTAGTGACCAGATACGAACATGACATTTTGACAATTTGAAATTCCGTAACGCTGGTTATGCCGTAAGAGTTTAAGCATATTTATACAGACTTGTTGATTTGTCTATCTTTCTTTCTTATTGAATGAAAAAAATATTGAAGAAAGAAACGGGCGTAGTTTGTATTTAGGAACATTGACTACGAATAATTTGTTTCTTCTCTTATTACGTATTTATTGTATCATTCAGAAAATATGATCGTCGCCAAGCTTTGTGATCATAGTCATCATCGTTTGTTTATCCTGTTCGTTAGTGACGTTGAATGGGGGCTTTTTTTTAAATTTATAACTCTGTATTGACTCACTTGATCTCTTATATAAAAACCAAAATGTTACTCGGATCCATACACTTTTATCAATGTGAGTCGTTATTTGATTATATTTCTTAGCATTTTCACTGTTTCACTCGATGGCCGACCTGCAAATCAACTACAGCCATCTGTTGGTAGTAAGAACTTTTCGGGTATAGCAACATACTATGATCGTACGTATATAGAGAAGTTTATGCAAAAGGTTTAACTCTTTACATTTTAATTTTGATTAGCTAATGTCGGTGCTTGTGGTTTTACCAGTAGTGGTGATGAATTTGTTTGTGCAATAGCTGATGCTCTTTATGAAACGCAAACAATTGGTGGTAACCCAAATAATAATGCATTCTGTCGCAAACAAATTTCAGTAACAGGTCCCAAGGGTACAGTTATTGCAACAATTGTTGATCGATGTGGTAGTTACAAGAATATGAGTGTAAAAACACTTTCCCACATTAACCAATATTGTCTTTACGAAATAGGGTGATCTTGATTTGAGTCGTCCAGCTTTTAATAAGATTAGTGATCCAATAAATGGAAAGATTCCTGTTACTTGGCATTTCATTTAACAATCGATTCACAAACTAAATGCTGACTTTTTTTGTAATTAAACTTTTACGTGAAATATAACAACTATCTTCAAAAAACTAACTAGAGGAAAATCTTTTTAAAAAAAACGTCCGTTAATTATTTGAAGGAAATGAAAAATTCGCAAGAAACAAAAGATCAACTTGAAAATTTCGTAATCAATGTACTCATAATTCACTGGAAAGTGCTCGTCAAATCGTTGACACAAATTATAAAATATCCGATCTGATACGATACTTAAAGAATGTTTAAAAATTGCTTTCTTTTTTCACTAACATTTTGATTACTTGAAATAACATAACTATAGTCCTCCGATAGAATTTCTCTTCTTTTCTTATTATCCATTATTTCTTATCATTGTTGGTACAATTCTCAATTTATTTACATTTATAACTCTTTGTCGACAACCTTTTCGCGATACAAAAAAACAACCTTGTATGCATTATATGCGTACAATAGCAACCTTTGATATTGTAATGTTATATGGATGGAATCTTGATCATTATCTTTTTGCAATTCATGGATTTCGAATTGTTGACATTAGTATTTTATCATGTAATCGACTTTCTAGATGCTTTTTTCTCTTTCTGAAGACTGATTTATCCTTTGTGACGTTTCGGTAGGTGATACCCCCTTCGTCAGACGATTTCATTTCTCGAAATTAAAACTTTTACATTTTCCTCTTTATATATCTGTCTTTTCTTCTTTTCTTGTGTTTTCTGGTTCTTTCGTTCTTCTATATTTGATAGTGATGTCATTTATCATTTGATTCATCCTCATCATACAACAGCACTTCCGAATTCTCGCATTCAACATCGTGCAATTTCCTTTACATTACTTATTACAACGTTTTCGTTTCTAATTATGACAATACCATCAGGTATTATCTTTGCATTTTTCTACGATACAACTAGTACATTGATTTTAATGTTGGCCGATGCAGCTATGTTTACTTATCGCATTTTATCGTTTCCTTTATATTTCATAACATTTACTGATTTTCGACGAGAATTTCTATGTATGATTGGATGTGCAAAGAATACTCGTCTTATTGTACCACAAGTAAATGCATTACCAATCAATAAAGATTTATCAAACTATGATATCAATCAAACGAAAATATCATTCTGTTCTATGTGATTATACTCTCTTAACTGGGGAAAAATATTTTAAAAAAAGCCCAATGAGTTAGAGATAAGATAATTTTTCACATGAAAATAATCAAAGATAAAAAGAAATCAATGTAGAATGTGCTAAGAACTAAAAAAGATGGTGAATCATATTCTGTAGGTGGCGAACAATATGATAAAACGCAAGAAAACATCTGGTGCTTGTGCCTCTATCTTGCTTCTAGTTAATACAAGAATGAGTGCAAAATATACCCAAGGATTACATAAATCTTTCTCTTGTTTCATATTATAATAGAATTAGAATGATATTCTGTTCCCAACAAAGTTGCATTGACAAAGTTTTCCGAACTGTTGACATCTCTAATTTATCGATTTTAAAATCATTCAGTATACCAATTGAAATGTTTTATTAAGACAGATAGAAATAATCTTCAAACTAATGAATGTAGAAACTGAGAACCAATATCTATATTTATTTGTACTTCTTGTTACGTATTTTATTTTCATTTGTCAAAAAAAACTACTGCACACTGATCTTAAGGTTTGTCAATCTTGTCAAGATTTCTTTTCCATTTCTGAAGTTCATGATCATTTTCTGGTAAAGATTGCTGTCCGATGTTTATAGCGCATTCGATAAATGAACGTGCTTTCGAAGAGTCGCCTAAATTATTATATACCGCGCCAACGTTATTGCAGGACACAGCTATATTAACATCGTTTTCAGGAAGTATACGCTGTTGAATCTCAAGAGCTTTTAAGAAATACGGAAGAGCTCCTGCATGATCACCCATCTGGCCATGACTACTACCGACACTATTGCAGTATGCAGCCAAAAGAAAATCATCGTTCAGACGTGAATTTTGATCGTTTTCCATGGTCTCACCTTTTTCAGTATTTATTGAGTATGAAGAACTATTTTTGATAAACGAATCTGAAATAAATCTTATACCTTGAAATTTCTTTCTCAAAATTTGATATCGGTAAAATACAACGTTGCTTTGTGATTACATTGTGCATTTTATACTTTTTTGACTGGGTAAAAATATTTAAAAAAAAACAGTGAGTCAGAAATAAAATACTTCATCATACGAAAATAATCAAAAGGAGAAAGCGAACGACATAGATATGTATCTTTTATCTCACTTTTTCTTAATATACTAAAATTTCATTTATGTAAATTTAGTTCCAAGAAGAATGAGCGTAAAAATGTCTCTGATGACAATGTCAATATTTTTCGTTATATATTTGCATTACAATATAGAGTGAGCACGTTATTGTATTTTCAAAGAAACTTTCTAGTTAGGTATGTAAATTGCTCATATTTCTAATACTAACAATTCATTACTACTGCTAGAAATTCTCCATTCAATTTTTACAGGGCTTTTTCCCAGTTACGGTTTTTCTTTGTGTATAAATGGAACGAAAGTTATATTGTAATGAGTCTTTTCGTTGTAGATAGAAGAATATACTCAATCCGATTATAACCAACAAAAGATCGATACTCTTACTCCTGTTACTTAGACGAAATAATGCCTGTCTGCGTGAAATGCCAAGCTTCGACAAGTACAAGTAAACGCTGTTCGTATTGTCGGGTTTGCCGCTGTTCCGAAGCATGTCGTTCCACCGATTGATCTGATCATAAATCAATATGTAAAAGTGGAGATTCTACTACTCCGACCTTAAACTCATCAGATGAGAGACTGAATTATCTCCCAAATAAATCTTTTAATTTCAACATATTTGATTTTCATTTAGAAAAAGGTGGATTTGCTAAACCTGGTACATACAGGGAGATTCATTGTGAAGGTCGTCCTTGTTCCAAATGTGGTAGATGTCGTGATTGGCAATTTAAGGGTGATCTTGAAACTTGGCGTTGGATACAGAACTACAGAAGTTGGATCAGCTTATATCCACCAGATTTTGACAAACGTGATGGTGCCACATGTGATTACCAATTTTCTTCTCCTCATTATTTCCACTATCTTAATTTCTATAGTCGTGACGAACTTGGTGGTCCTCTTTCTCATGTTCCCGGTCCTTTTTTTGACCCACCCCCTGATTGTGTGTGTGATAACACTCGTGAAAATTAAAATGCGAATTTTTCTAATCCATATTTACATATAACGAGAAGAATGAAATAAATAAACTTTAAAAATGTAACTATAATTTCAAATTATTCATTCTTTTTCTTTACCTGAAGAGCTTCTATATTATTTCTCGGTAAATTAAAAAGAAAAAGAAGCTGCGTCATATGTTGTTAAGCGTTATACTGATATTGGAGCAACTATATTCATTCTTAATATATGTACTCAAAATACAATAAAACACAATAGAAACCATTGACGTCAGAAAGTTAGAGAAAAATTTATTTGGCAAGGTATTTTTAGTAAGAAAGATTGCCGTAGAAAATGTCACCTACTTTCTCAATCAAAAAACAGGGAAGTTTTTCTGTATGATTATCGAAACGAAAAAACTATACAAGCACCATAGTTCGTTTTTAAATACAACAACTCTATATCCATAGATATCATTTTTTTGTAGTATAGAAATGACTTTTAAGTGCATTTTATTTACTCTTTTATTCATTCGAATAACAATATTATTGTGTTTCCTTTTATTCCATGAATTACTAATTCAGTTTCTGTACCATTAAATAAACGAGTATTTGATATATATATATTTGTATCACAAGAAACAATTATAAATTTAGCTGACAAAGCATTTCTTTGAATATACAATTCATAATTTCATCAAACAAGTTAGCTGTTTCAGAATGTTTATTTGGCAATTATTTGTCGTTATTAGTATGATGAATGAGATTGATTCACAAGGAATCTTTCATAGTCAGTTTGTTCTCACAAATTTAAACAAAAAATACATTCCTGTCAATTTCTCAGCTCAAATTCTTTCGATAACTTTAACAAGTACATCAAAGCTATGTGCTCTTGCCTGTAATCAAAATATAATGTGTAGTATATTTGACTACGAAGTGTTCATGTCAAATGAATGTCGATTATTCGAGGGTGATATCGATACAGTAGGATCAATTGATGTTTCTTCGTCACCTCAATCCATTGTTGGCATTGTTAAATTGTCATCTGAACTTTTCGCACAATATGGTCAGTCTTGTTCTTCTAATCATCAGCCGACTCGTTATCTTATATGTGGTAACGATTCAACCTATCAATGTATACCACATAGTTATTGGAATGCATTAATTTCTATGTGTAAGCCACAATTACCTATCCTCGGTGCAAAATGTTCACAAAATACAAGTATGTGTCGTACTGATCTTAATTTGATTTGTTTACCGTTCAAACAATGTGGTCGTAAGTGTGATTGATATGTTTAGAAAAAGAATCGAAATGATAAGTTTTCTCTTGCTTTATAGCATATGATTTATTAATTGGTACAACAATTGCTGGCTATGATAATACAACAAATGGCGTTGATGCTCAAGGACTTGGTCAACCACGAGGCATCTATATTTTGCCATTAAATAATACCCTTTTTGTTGGTGACTCAAACAATTGTCGCGTACAACGATTCGACTTTGGTTCTCGTACAGGTACTACAGTGGCTGGAGGGACTGGTTGTGGTTCAAATCTCGTTCGAATGTCTAAAATTTGGAGTATTTTTGTTGATAATGATGAAAATATTTATGTTGGTGACTACAATAATGAACGTGTAGCACTTTGGTTGCGTAATGCAAGCCAAAGTGTCGTTGTTGCTAATGAAGGTAAAATGGATGGTGTTACTTTGGACCAGTACGGAAATTTATATACAGCAGTTTATAATCGTCATGTTATCTTACGAAATAATAATACTGTAGTTGCTGGTGTTTATAATGTAAATGGTAATTCGACGATACATTTGGATGCTCCACGTGGTATCTTCTTTGATAAAAATACTTCATCAATATTTGTCTGTGATACTCGTAATCATCGTATTCAACAATTTCATATGAATAGTTCCATTGGAATTACAGTGGCAGGAGGAAATGGAGCTGGTTTAGGTCCACATCAGTTAGATAGTCCGATCGCTGTTTGGGTGTCATCCAAAACTGGTTATATTTACATTGCAGACACAAATAATCATCGTGTTCAACGATGGAAACTTAATGATACAGAAGGAGTCACTATTGCAGGTACAGGAATAGCCGGACAAGATTCGACAATGTTCAATGCAACCACTGGACTCACATTAAATTCTGATGAAACATATCTTTATGTTAGTGATCAAAATAATAATCGAGTTCAACGTTTTAAACTTCTCGTTTAAATACTTTAACTTTATTTGACCTTACATTGTATTCGTTTCTTTTTTGTTCTTCTCTACTACAACTTGTATAGGATCCCACGTGCTTGTCTAAATATATATATATAGAAGAAAATTCATTTTCATTCGTTATTGTACGCAGAAAGAGAAAAGTCGATATCAGAATGTCCGATAAATATCCAAATACAATTGAATCATTTTCAGTTGAATTATGACGAGAAATATTTGATTATCTTCATATTAATGATGTCTGGTATTCATTTCATGGTTTATAAATCAACACATCAATGAAATTCTTAATCAAATTGAACTACATTTAAATTTAAACGAACAAGCCAAGTATGAATATTTCAAGAAAAATCTTCATTCCTCAATCAATATTCTTCATATTCGATCTTTGAAATTGAAGGAAAGGAAACAAATTGAAAATTTTTTCTCAATTTTCCCATTAAGTTCTTTAATTCAACTTCGATCCTTATCGTTACATGGCATCTTCTCTTTTAATGACATTTATGTAAAGGAAAATAGAAATGGAAATGAGTGTTATTTCATTTCAGCTGCAGCATATTTCTTCTTTATTTTATTATTTGTGATCACAAAGACAGATTGGAGGAATAGCACTATCGCTATTCTTCAATGTAGAAGATATTAACTACATTGTATCATACTCCAAAATGTATCGTATGCAATACAGAACATAATCTTTTATACAGAAGAGAAAAGAGAAGAGACCAAGCAGTGACAGTACAAGGTAATATTCATAATGAGAAGATTAGTAAGAAAAGAACATTACGCAAGGACACTAACTTATAACTGACATCTCTAAATGATAACTCATAAGATATGATATTTAGATGGACGTGTCTATTGGCACAATTTATTTACGATTTGGAATCAACTTTCATCGTTAAAACACTTACAATCATTGGATGTTATATTTGGAACGGAATATCATCCCAATAAGGATCGTAAAGATAAAGAATTCTTAATTTGCTCAATATTTAATCACAATTTTTGTCCTTTACTTACTCATTTTACTATCAAAGATGAAAGTGAATATAATTCAAAACAAAACAAACAACAAAACCAACCTATATCAAATATTTCGCTATCGATAATTTAACTCTTACCGATTTCATGAAATTACTTCCAGCATTACAAAATACAAAACTCTTTTGTGTAGATGATGAATTATCTTATGATCATACATTTATTTTCCACGAAACAATGCCGTTTATGTCTCAATGTATAAAGTTAGATGTGATTGTATCGATTGGTATTACATTTGAACATATTGAATTTATATTAAAACAAATGCCAAAGTTAAAACGATTGATTTTAAATAGTTATTCGCTTCCTATACTTGATGCAGAAAAATGAGAATTTCTACTAAATGTATATTGTCCAAGATTATCAGAATTTGTATTCGTATGTAATGATGATGGAAAGGATAGAGCTTATGAAAAAGCTGTACGTCTTGTTCAAAAATATATTCATGCAAAAAGGTTTTGAAAGGAACGAAATACCGCAATTACTACTTGTTCTTTTGGAAAAAATCATCTATATATATAAAGAAGAAAGTTTGTTTGTTTGTTTGTTCGCTATGCATTCAGTCCCTGTAGTAGCTATCGGCGTGAAACTTTCCACAATGCTTCCTGGGACCCAGAGGAAGGTCGACATCTACTTTTCCCCGAGAACAAAGGAACCAGCCGTTTGCCACAGGCAATCTATAAAACTGACCAATAGGATTGCAGGATTTCAAATGTGGGTGAAATCAATAGCGAAGGCCGTCTGAGCGCTCAAAGACAAAAATCCACGTGTTCTCTACGCCTATGATAATTCGGTGAATGCTACAGATAATCTGCGAAACTCACCAATAGCGTTAAAGGTTCTCAAAAGATTAAGATAAATGATGAGGGTGGGTGAATTCGAAGGATATAAGGCATGAAATGACGTGAGAATGAGAAAGAGGTCGANTACAATCCAAAGACTCCTGCCCACTAGACGTTAATAGGCGGAACGGAAGGTAACGGAAAGAGCTGATGATCTGTATCGGTTCCGTTAGTATGTGGTTGTCCTACTTCGGAGTTCGAGGAATGAGTGACGTGATCGAGGTCTTCGTAATAACGTTTATTGATAAACGACGAGAGAAAGAAAAAAAAAGAAAACGACCGATGTCGATAACAGTTCAAAGACAACTGGCTCTGTCTGATCTTACAAGTTCAACGAGAGGTCAGACAGGCGGCATAGAGAGAAAACCAGAGAGAGAAAAAAGGAGATCTATATATCATGGCATCGAACCGCACATAGGACATATAGACCTGAACAAGAAGAGAAAGAAAAACAGATAGCGATAACAATGTACTATCTGTTATCGCTAACAGGAAGCGTAGAAATTTTAATTGTATTGATTTTCTATCTGTTATAACTCTTCGACACGTGAGATATTCGACATAGATATTTCTTATTTGCAGCGGGTACTCCCTCTAGTAATGTATATTTATGTCTTGGAAATTCGAATGGCATATTTCAAATGGAGATATTTTATGCAATACTCTCAAGAACTTTAGCTCAATTCATTTGTAGTAACTGATTTAAATAATAATGCACAATTCGAATTTATTACATTCTATAACTCAGGATACTTTATTACGACAATATTTGTGGATTATTATAAACAACTGGATCTTCTCATGGAATATTCTATTTCTATTGAAGTTATCATAAATCTCTACTTTTATATGGCTGCTTTTGATGAAAATGGTTTACGATATGATTTCATCACGAAACAAACGTATCGCTATATCATTTGGTAATGGAAAGAGAAATTTTCTAACGAAATTAATTTTTCGCAGTGAAGCTTTTACAAGTGATTTGCATATAATTATTGGTATGAGTAATTTCAATAATGATATTCATAAATATATAATAATTCAATATCCATCTGATTATATTATTTATTTCCTTTTAAAACTGCATTTAAATTATATGACTTTGTTATATTATCGAATAAATCTTTTCAAATCATTTGATGAAATCGTATATTAGTATACTTTTGCTCTAAAAATATTTTATTCAATAAAAGTTTATGTTGTTTCTCAATATCGTGAACATTGATCATTGTGCATATATGTGTTCTAATTTTGATTGAATAGAACTTCTTTGACATACATTTTTGATTTTTTAAGAAGTTAAAAATACGTTTTTTCGAATCATTGTTTTAATAAGAATCGCACTCAAGATAATTATTCTGCAAAACAAACATGTTATCGAAGAAGTGATGTAGAAAATCAACATCTTGTTAAATTTAGATCAATTTTAAAAACTCTTGAAGAAAATGACATATCTTAGAAAGAACGTCTTTAATTTCTTTGTGTCAGTTCATCACTTCAATCTAAAAAACAAAAGATGCCAATTTTCTCTGTTGGTGATGCATTAAAAACGCTTTGATGAACAATTTTCCAACATCTTTTCGAATTAGAACTCTTATATCGATATAACTAATACATGATGTTCCCTCTCTCTCTCTTTCTTATTTCCTTCACTTTCTCTTTAAAATCTTTCAAAACTAATCAGTTATACATAACATACTCCTTGATCTTTTCCTTTGACATCATATTTTTATTTTGAAATCTTTAATCATAGATCAGATTTGAAGAATGCTAGACATTAATTAATTTTATAAATAATAGATTTTTTTTCTTTATAAACTTATCATTTTAGACTTAGATATAAGCGAAAGAGAATATCTTCATTAAGTATTACATTACAAAATATTCAAAAAAATTGACTTTTTGGTTTTTCTTGGTTTTATGTTACTTTTGGTGTAACGGGATGTATTCTAAACATTTGTCTCTTTTCACAAAAACAATATCGTACAACATCATGTTGTAAATGTAAGTTATTTTCTATTTTGATTTTTCTATGATTATCCTTTCCTTTACAGATTTCTTAATCGCATCTATTTCAATGTTATTTCATCTATTAATCTATTCAATACCAACGATTTATGGTTACTTTTATACAAATCCAATAACATATAGTCTTGTTTTCTGTAAATTTCGTTCATATTTTAATCATATTACATCTGTCATATTTCGTTTATTATTAACTGCTGCATCGTTTGATCGTTTTGCATTATCATCATCAAATTGTCATGTCTTGATAAGAAATAAAAGATCTTGAGAAAAGTATCTTTATTTCAAGAAGAAATGAATATCAATAGAAGAAGGGAAAGAGAGAGAACACAGGAGAAATCTACATACATATATGCATATAACGACAGCTATATATATGTACGCGAGTGGACAATACCAAATGACAGGATAGGAAAAGACCATCATGACGCATAACATATGTGGATTATTCCACTATCCCACAAAAAATGGCAGTTGATCCTTTATTAAATTGAAAGAACCATGAAAAAACGAATATATTAATCAAATTACCAATTATACCAAGAATAAAGATTGTTAAACCACCATATCAAGATATAATTCCAGCAGCAAAATAAAGATTATTGATTTCATTCGAAACATTACTCATTTTTCTTTCAATATTTTAGCTTTTATGAAGAAATCTAAAGTTCAAATGAAACTGTTTCTACTGAGAAAATATGCTCTTTTATAACAATATAAACATCTAATTATCAAATATATCATTTTGACATGAATTCATTTTCATAAAAGAATATAGACACATGTCTATCTTCATAGAAAATTTTCATTTCATTATATATCAAAAGCTCGTCATGCGCAGATCCTGCTGTGATAACAGAGAAAAAATTTTTCATTTTTTATTTCTTCTTTTAATAGCAAACCATGTTAACTGGTGCCTTCAATGGCTAAAAAAATGTTAAATATGTTGAAAGTATGAAGTCCAATGTTTTATCTGATGAAATCGAATAAAACACCAAAACATAAGATAACACGAGACTAACGTTAATATTCACATGTTTCTGTATCAACAAGTATAATAGTAAATATCAGATGTAATGTATTACATTAATGATATGTTTTCATGTTTATTTTCGAATATGCACAAAACAACATTCAAAAGTAACTAAACATTTCTAAAATGTTATGGTGTGGTTCTCATTAAATTTGTCGTAGGTTGAATACGATGTTTCTTTGTAAAGAGTAGAGATGAAATATTCTGACGAAATGGTTTTGAGCTGATCAGATAGGTGAGAAACGAAAAACTATGAATGATAAATCCAATCAATGTAAATGCACTGTTGGCCACATTCTCTTGAGCTATTTGATATGTATTTTTGGCAAAATCTTTTGTATAAAGTAAATAGATTCGTCGAATAACAAAACCAATCGATGCTAAGAGAACCATTGTTATTTGTGCAAAGACTAGACGAGTCAATGATTGTTCGATCGATGCTTGTCGAATCATTTTATGTCGAATATTCCACCATGTTAGTAATGAAAATGTCGATAAAACGATGATCGGTAAAAGACTATAGATAATTAAACCATTGTAAGTATTGTATGTTGCTGCTATTGTATTCGTTATATCACATTGGGTTTGATTTATTGAGTTTTTAATATGTGTGTAATAAACTAAATTTGGACTTATTGATCCAAGTGAATATATTGTAACCACAAGACACATAAGTAAAGCTCGTCGTCGATTGATCCATTGATGATGTCGAATGTGACGAGATGTTAGTAAATATTGATTTGCAGCTGCTAAACTTAGACAATGTACTGCCACAGTAGCACTACCAATTCCAATAAACCATCGTAGTTTACAAAGAACCAAATAAGTAACTAGTGGATCAGTTCCACTGAGACGAAATACTAATTGAGGTAACAGACCAGTAAGAAGTGTAGTTAGACTACTAATGAATGAAAAAAGAAGAAACACTGGAGTTGATCCTTTATTAAACTGTGGAAAAAAAGAAAAGACAAAGATGTTAATGGAATTGCCAATAATTCCAGTGATAAAAAGGATCAAACCACCAAATGTTAAAGAAATTCGAGAAATATAATTAAGATAAGCAATTTCAGCAGTTGAACTAGACATTTCTATTTCATTTCACGAAATGATATCGTTTTCTTTTCTAACGAGTGTAGAATAATCTTCTGAATACGATATGACAGTTTTTTTCAACTAATCGTCAATTCATTTTGACATTAGACTGTCATTCATACGTATTTCTTTATTTTTTTATATTCTTTCATTCTAATGAAATATCATGTACCAATTTTATTTTTAATTCTTAAATTTAGTAACGCTCTACTTTTCTTCATTTCACTGCAATTTTTTTCTTTCACTGAAGTTAAGAGCAAATCCAGGCATTATATATGAAATAAGTGAGTTTGTATCTGAGTAGAAACAGAGAATTCTTTAGAAGTTAAGATCTTAAAAATATCACTACAGCTGTAAATTTCAAGTTAGGCAACTGACATTCACTCAAATGGAGTTTTAGATGGACATAAAACGTAATTAACCCTAGTACTACCAGCCTGGGTCATTTTTGACCCAGAGGCAAAATGCGAATATATGCTAGAAATATTTTGTTATATCCTGGTTTTTCGAGGTAACTAGCGTTCAGGGGGTTGATGGGTCATGCTCCCTTTACTATTCACTTACCATTTGGTATAAGC